TCAGCATAAATATGAAAAGAAATGCCATGTTTATGGATAATATGTCCAAGGGGAAGCAGATACAAGGAAAACAAAATGGGTCCTAAGACCGACCCCTGAGGCACACCATATTTAACTGGACAGAACGAAGAGAAACTGTTCAAATATTTTGTTATTTTCCAGTACAGTGAGCAGCTGTTTGGACACAATTCTTTCTAGAATCTTTGCAATAAAAGGCAGTTTTGAAATTGGTCTAAAATTATGTGGGAGGGAGGGATCTAAACCAGGTTTCTTTAAAAGTGGGTTCATGCAAGCCGTTTTAAATAATCAGGGACACAACCAGTAGATAGGGAGCTGTTGAAAACAGAGATCAAATGGGGCCCAACAGAATCCATTACTTTCAGTAAAAACTTTGTAGGTATTACATCAAGTGGGCTGGAGGACACTCTCATTTGTGATACTGTTTTTAAAAGCTCAGACAAGTCGATGGGATAAAACTGGTTAAAACTCTCTTGTTGCTGGTGAGGAACCTCTGAGTAAGAGGCCACGGGGTAATAGAGGCTCTGATTGACACCACCTTATTGGTAAAATAAGATAAAAACAATTCACAGTCATCATTACTTCCAGCTGACGCACAAGGAGGGGTTGGGTTTACCAGCTGATCCACAGTTTTAAACAGAAACCTGGGATTGTGTTTATGTGTAGTAATGAGTTCAGAAAAATAGTGTGTTCTCGCATCCTTAACCATGTTATCGTAGTTAATTAATAAATCCTTCAGACTGAGGTAATGGACTTGGAGACTGGATTTTTTCCATCTGCGCTCTGCTTTCCTGCATTCCCTTTTTAGGCTGCGAATGCTGTCATTTATCCAGGGTTGCTTACTAGCTTTAGACGTAGGCCTAACCTTTAGAGGAGCAGTAATATTTAGTACGACAAGCAGATATGATTGAAGTGATCGACCAGATTGTTGGTGTTGGAATCAGACAGGTGTTGGCTTTGGCTCTGAAAGAATGCGCAAAACTTTGAAACACTTTGTTCATTAAAGAGCGAGAACACACGGAGCTTGGTGAGGCGGCATGAGTAACAGGCGAATCACAGATAAAAACAATACATCTGTGGTCAGATATGGTCATGTCCACTAATTCCACCGAGAAATGCTGACACCCAGGGTAAAAACCAAGTCCAGTGTATGACCACGGTTATGTGTTTGTCCTTTGACATGTTGTTTGAAGTTAAAAGAAGTGGCCATATTTAAAAAGTCAGTTGCATTAATATTGGTGGGATCATCAACATGAATATTAAAATCGCCACAAAGAACAATTCTGTCATAATTTAAAACCAGAGTAGATAAAAATTCAGGAAGTTCTGATAAAAATCCTCCAGGCGGTTTTGGGGGGGGCGATAAATTATGACAAATATGATGCAGCCCTCCAACTTTAAGAGTGAGAACTTCAAAGGAGTTAAATTCATCACAGCCTACTTGATGACATTTTAAATTTTTCCTATACACGCTCACTAGCCCACCACCACGACCACTGACCCTCGGTTGACTAAAACAATCATATTGAGGCGGACACAGTTCAGCTAGCTGGCTATAGTCATTCATCTGCAACCAGGATTCAGTTAAAAACATAAAATCTAGATTTGCAGACAAGATAAAATCATTCAAGATAAGTCTTACTTGAAAGTGATCTCACATTGAAGAGAGCCATTTTAAATGAGTTTGTTCTGGGTGCTGGAGTTGGTGCAGTTGTCCTAATCCTTAAGAGATTACTAATATTTCTGTGTGGGATGTGCACATTTCGGTTTACTGGTCTATGCGTGATGATGACAGGAATAGAAGTCTTTGGAACAGCGCTGGGAGCAGACGGCTTTACATGCCAGCAGGTGGAGACAGTTGTTTGTGGCAGTGAGGCAGAGATCTGTTCAGTGAGCGGTGGTGCGTCCAGGTGTGCTGCATGAATGATTAGTCATTCAAGTCATGTGTGGACCGCACCACATGCTGTATGTGAGCAGCTAACATTTCTGAGTCCCGTTTGTTTGGGTGAAGTCCGTCTGTCTTAAAAAGACATTCTTTGCCAGAAAACATTAAAATTATCCACTTAACACACACGATGAGCCCTGCAGGCGGACTGGAGCCAGTCAAGGAGGCCAAGGAGTCTACTGAAGCGTTGTGTTGGACAGATTTGTGCAGCTGTGCTTAACAAGGGAGAGAGAGAGACGAGCGAGAGGATGTGCTGCGTGAATATGCGCTGCCTGCAGCTCAAATACGATTTTAAATAGGCCTAGTAAAAAAAAAATCAAAGATCAATCTGTAGCGGTCAGCCTTGATATTGTGGCAGGCCGCTACAAATAAACTTATCTGCTCATGTTCAAACCTTTCTGCACATTCAGAATCTCTTCCACATATCTGAGTTCTCTGACATGTAAAGAAAAAGAGTCGCAGTGGGAGACTAACATCTTTAGCCTATTTAAAGAGAATACAGAATATTTTACAACATGCCCTGTACTGCATTATGTTACTGATTCGCTGGAAGTTTCCCCTCGCCGTCTAACAGACAAACCCGAATGAGACGAGGAGGCGCTCACGCCGGGGGGAACGAAACTAACCGACACCTGTGATCAGACAGAAAGCTCACGAATAATTCCACACACGTTAACTTCAGCGCCTCTGATAAAGCGGCGCTTACAATCCCCAACAGAGCAAGACAGGGCTTCAGTTTTTAACGTTACATTTTTATAGCCTGCTGAAACTACAGTACATGTCCGCTTTGGCACAAACTGTCTGCGACTCTCAGCGTGAGGCGGGTCCATGTCACTCGCTGGTGTTGCAGCCAAGTTTCTTTCAGGGTGAGTCCGACAGCAGAATATCCCTCTTAGAAATGTGGAACCACTGAGATAACAAGACGTTCACGGTGTATTCCTCAGAAATTAACACTTTTTCACCAAGAAAGAGAGCGTCAATTTTCCAGAGTTTACACAGTTAACGCCATGTGGGTGAAATTTTAGAGATGATACTCTGACTTCCCGTTCCCGTGAAGGCAGCACGAAGCTGCACCACAAGTAGCTGAAGGAGAAAATATACAAGTCTCCTCCAGTCGCAGTGGACTAAACTAACAGGTTTTAATGTTGCAGACCAGTTTTTTGCAGTACTTTAAAGTTTAAACTCATATTGTTGTGAATCTTTGGTGTAAACTCACCTGAGAATTTCCAACCAACAAACGCCCCCCCACAATGTTGCTTCCAGTGCCCCCTATCCTCCTCGGAACGCCCCCTGGGGGGCGGTACTGCCCCCATTGAGAAACACTACATTAGATCCTGGAATGGAGTAACGTTTCTGCCCTGGCTCTAGATGTCTGATCCCTTTATCTCACCAAAACAGGGAATTTAGCGTTTCTTATTTTGGAGGATGTCAGGATTGATCTGGATTAGACTAAGTCTGCATGGAAGAGGTTGTCGGGTCGGAAATAAGGACCGGCCGGGCCAGTAAAAGACCTGGTCCCTACCCTAACCAACGTAATAAACTCAATAAAATTACTCTATTAGATTTCTTCTTTAGTCAAAAAACTGCGTAGTCAAAAACTTCACTGGAGACGGTCAAGAGTCGGTGCAAAAGAGTTTATTCCAATAAAGGACAGATAAACCCGAGCAACATCCCTGCAGGTCTCAGGATGGAACCGAGTTGGTGGTCAGCGAACATCGCCTTATATTCACCTTAAGCTCCACCTTGTCCCTCCCTTGAGGTGGGCGTTACATCTTAACTCCTCCTTATCTCCTCCTTCTAGGTGGGCGTTACTCCTCAACTCCACCTATAGTGTTCGCTGATCACTCCTCCCCCTTGGTGGATTTCTTATCCTCTACTGCCATCTAGTGGCCTTTTTCTTGTACTGTTTTACCAAATTAACCCTTTCATTAATGTTACAATTTCCACTTTTTAACTATTATTACATGTAATTATTGTTACCATTTATCTCTCTTTATATTTTTTACATTACTGGATTAGAAATCCACCAATATGTTTCAACTTCAGTCCCACCGTATTTTTTTTAAAAGTTATACAGGCATAGTTTGACACCATTAAAACTTAAACACTTACAATCATATTTTTTAAAAGAACTAATGAGGAATAACAATATATATATATGTATAACGTGATTCAATGAACAATTACATGATTTAGCAATGCCAACCATGAGGGTGCTTTGTCTCATACAAGTTTTCTTTCGGCAGCGCAGAGCTTGGTTTCATGCAGTACCTAGCCGTACCAGGCGCCATAAATCATAACATGTCATGATCTCATTCTTGGCTTCAGTTCGCGATGATCTCAGCCCTGGCGTACGTGACTTACTGCATGTGCCTTGCTTCTAATGAGTGGGTTACGGTTGGCTAGGTTTTGCCTGCGCGGCCTGAGCAGCTTCTCTGCTCATTAAAAAGCACACGTTCATGAATACACAGAGTATAGGAATAATGTATAATAAACACACAGAATAATGTATGATAAACACACAGGATATAAGAATAAAATATGAGTGTATATAAACACTCAGTAGTTATACACTCAGTAGTGAAACACTCAGTAGTTATAACATATTGCAAACCATTGATAAGGTGTATAAATATAGAAAAAGAACCTAACAATCAATCTAGGATTTAGGCCTTATGCAATCAATCTAGGATTTAGGCCTTAACATATTTAGGCCTTATTCAACAAGGTGAAGACCTGGATATTTGGAGAAATTCCAACCAGGCTGTCAGGGAAGTGCTTATGTTAATGATTTTAAAACTAGTATGATGTTTGATACTGGAGCTGTTAATAGCAGAGTGGATCCTGTTAAAGATCATATTTGGGTAACGAACAAATATCTAACCAGGAGTTTAATGTTTCTAAAAGCCTCTGCAGATATATGCGTTAAGTACGTCCTTTGATATCGACTGTATGAATGAAGAAATGAAATAGTGTTTCAGACAGCTGCTTCAGCTCCGCAGGAAGGGGAGAAGTTAGAGAGAAACTAGAGAGTTTGTTACTAGAGAGTCCTCCTGAGGAGGTTTACTTCAAAGCATCAGTTACTGATCTAGAGTTAATTTAATCTCTCATCACAGGCTCAGACAGCAACCTACTCAGAGTTTTCACTAAACCCGTTTTCTGAAACAGGGCCAAGCGATTCTTCAGGAAAACACTTGGTAGATTAATGGCCTCGTAGCTACATAGTGTCTGTGATGACAGCAGGCCAGTAGAGGTTCATAACCACAATAACATACATGCTGCTCAAAATATGAAGTTACTGTTGTCTGTTGGCATTAGGAGGAGGCAGGAGGAAACAGCTAGCTTGGCTCTGAGATGTTCAACACGAAGCAACATGAGTGCGTTGGTGGCGCTGAAGGTGACCACTCTGAGTAAATGTTTTCCCACACTGTTCACACCAGTACGGTCTCTCTCCACTGTGAACACGTCTGTGAATTTTTAATTTATCTGATCCAGTGAAAGATTTCCCACACAGTTCACAGCTGTACGGTTTCTCTCCACTGTGAACACGTCTGTGAATATGAAGTGTACCAGACTGAGCAAAGGTTTTCCCACACAGTTCACAGCCATACGGTTTCTCTCCAGTGTGAATACGTCTGTGTGCTTCTAGGGAACCTTCTCTACTGAAAGTTTTCCCACACTGGTCACAGCTGTACGGTTTCTCTCCAGTGTGAATACGTCTGTGTGCTTCTAGGGTACGTGATGCAGTGAAAGTTTTCCCACACTGGTCACAGCTGTACGGTTTCTCTCCAGTGTGAATACGTCTGTGTGCTTCTAGGGTACGTGATGCAGTGAAAGTTTTCCCACACTGGTCACAGCTGTACGGTTTCTCTCCAGTGTGAATTCTCTGATGAATCTTTAAAGATCCAGATGTTGTGAAGGATTTGTCACAGTGCTGACGTTTGCGTCTCTCCTCTCCTCTCCGTTTCTATAACAGACAGACAGAGAAAAAGACAGTGAGTGAGATGTCATGGTGGAGCCAGCTATCTAGAAACATTAATGTAGAATCTAGAATATGTCTGTGGAACATAGGGCTGGGCAATAAAACAATCTCATTATCGTATCGTAAGAAGATTTATGTAGACTACGACGATAAACGGATATATTTTACTCGATATGGATATATCTAACAGCTTATTACACGGCGGAAATACCTAGTCAAAACCCCATATTGACGGTGTCTGTCACCCGACCATCGAAATTATTTAAATCAAAGGTAAACAGAAGAGGAGCTGTGCATAAAAACCTCATAAAAATTAAAACCACAAGAGCAATAGTGCAAACTAATAGGAGAGTTAAATGTGGACTCTTAAACATCAGATCTCTCTCTACTAAAGGTGTACTAGTAAATGAACTAATATCAGATTATGATATTGATTTATTTGGTCTTACTGAAACCTGGCTGGGTGATGGAGAATATGTTAGCCTAAATGAATCCACCCCTCCCAGTCATATTAATACTCACATTCCTCGAGGCACAGGCCGAGGAGGTGGAGTTGCAGCTATCTTTGACTCAACCCTACTAATCAGCTCTAAACCTAAACCAAACAATAGCTCATTTGAAAGTCTTGTTCTTAGTCTTTCGCACCCAAGTTGGAAATCACTGCAACCAATTCTCTTCGTTATAGTGTACCGAGCACCTGGTCCGTACTCTGAACTCTTATCTGAATTTGCAGAGTTTTTGTCAACTTTAGTCCTTCAGGAATTGAGGGACTTTTGCCAAGAAAACAATGTGATTTTGGGGAAATTAAGGAAGAAATGTCCAAGATGAGCACGAGAATGGACAAGGCTGAAGGACTGATTGAGAAGGCAGAGGAGAGGATTCAGAACACGGAGGACGCCATGACGGAAATAATAAAGTTACAAATAAGGTTGGAGAACAAATTCATGGAGCTGTACGAGAAGGGAAAACGTCCACATCTACGGTGTACCCGAGACAGCAGAGTGGGACTCTCCAACAATGAGTGATTTTGTGGAGAAGCTGCTGCGTGACGGTTTGGAGCTGTCCCAAGATGAGCTTGACATGTGCATCGAACGGGCGCATCGCTCTCTAGGCCCACCACCGCCAGACGACGCACCCCCACGCTCTATTATTGAGAAATTCCTCAGCTTTAAGACCAAAGAACTTGTGCTCCGTAAGGCATGGCAGAAAAAAGGATTTACCTGGAATGGCAAACAAGTAAGTTTGACCATGATTACCCTCCTCTCATCCTAAAGAAACGAAGAGAATACGCAGAGGTGCGCAAGATTCTGCAGATCCCCTTTCAGACTCTTTCCAGCTAGGCTGAAGCTGAAATACACTGAAGAAACTAAAATTTGACTACTGTAGATATGTCCAGTAGAGGCTATGCGGTGAAGGTCATCGCATAACCAGATGTGAACAACTGAAGCAGCTGATCTGGAGCAGAGTTGGCAGAGGAGCGGGGTGCAGCGCAGCGAACAAGAGGCGGGACCCCGGTTACAAAGAAAAACTCAGAGCCTTCAGGAGGACCTCACCTACGCCTTCGGAAAATTGAGGTTTACCCACTTTGTTGTTTCTTTTTTTTTTTTACTACTTAAAAAACTGTTATTCAGTTTAATGGTGTGTAATAAGCAGATAAGCAAGGTTTTTGGAGGGTGTTCTTCTCAGTGAGGCTTTAGCCATTAAGGGCCTCCTCCACTGAGTGATGAAGAAGTTGCCTTTAAAGGCGAAGCAGGGTCCACCCCAGGGACCCCTACCTTGGAAGTTAGAACTACCTCTTTTTTGATGTTATTTGTTCACGTGTTCCATGTTCAGTGTTTACAAGGGTGTGCGGGGAGCCTATTAAAATGTGTGTATTTGTTCTATACTACAGATGAGTAGCAGATCAGTGAAAATGGTATCAATCAATATTAATAGCCTACACAATCCTGTAAAAAGGTGGAAAGCACAATCTAACCTTAAAAGAGATAAAGCTCAGGTTGTTTTTATGCAGGAAACACATCTGTCTGATAGCGAACATGAAAAATTGAACAAGCTTTGTTTTAAACATGTCTTTTATTCTTCTCACAGTTCGGGGAGGCGAAGAGGTGTGGCGATCTTAGTGTACGCCGCTCTAAATTATGAACATATATCAGAATATAAAGATAAGGAGGGTAGATATATAACGGTAACTGGTAAGATTGATGGTATTACTCTGAGTCTCTTAAATGTGTATATCCCCACAGGAAGCAATTGGTCCTTGTATAAACAGATCCTAGAATTAACAACAACAAGGAATTATGTGGTGGTGATCTTAACCTCACATTAAATGCTAAATTAGATTCTTCGAACAGGAAAGGTGATGCGAGAAATATTGGAAAAAGAATGGTACACCTGATGGACGAATTAGGATTAGTTGATGTGTGGAGGGACTGCCATTCAACTGATAGGGAATATACCCACTATTCACGCGCACACAATGTCTAGGTTAGACTATATCTTCATGTTTAGAAATGATCTCTTTAGGTAAAAAATTGAGAAATAGGTCTATATCAGACCATAACCCGGTTTACGCTGATATCTGCCTGAACAGGAAGAATAGATCACACACACAAACAAAGAACGAACACAAACATTCTTAATTACCCAAATATTAAAGAGCGTTTGAAGAAACAAAGAGGAGTACTTAGAATATAACGATAAGGACGAGGTGTCACCGGGAACACTATGGGATGCACTTAAGGCAGTGATTAGGGAGGAATAATTGGTATTTCCTCTCACCTGAAAAAAGTAGGTCAGCAAAAACTAGATAAGTTGTTAGATCTGCAACACCAACACTCCAGGTCTCATAATGGTAATATTAAATCGGATATAATAAAATTAAAAAAGAAATAGATGATTTGAACACCATGGACGTACAGAAAAAAACTTGTTTTTATAAAGCAACAGTACTATGAGGGAGGGGGAAATCACTGAAACTTCTTTCTTATAAGCTTAGGAAACAAGCGGGGAGATCTATTCACAAAATTAAGAATCCCCTAAATTATCAAATAGAAATTGAACAGGAAAAACTTCAACAATGCTTTCTGGAGTATTATATTATATTCCCAACCTCATATAGACAATAACCAGGCCATCAATACCTTCTTGTCTGAACTCGAATTATCAACAGTGACAGAGGAACAAAATAAAAAGTTACTATCCACAATAACTAAAGAAGAAATGCATTTAGCATTAAAAGATTAAAGGAAGGGAAGATGGCAGGGGCAGATGGATTTGGTACAAAATAATGCAGGATTTTTTGGCCCCAACGTTGCTGAAAACATTTAATCGGGTGATGGAAAATAAGATCCCACCCTCATGGAGTGAAGCAATAATTTCTATCATCCCAAAAGAAGGAAAGGATAGATTGCAATGTAGTAACTACTGACCCATTAGTGTTCTGAATATAGACTAAGTTGTTCACCTCTATCATGTCAAGAAGATTAGAAACAATTTTACCAGGGTTAATACATAAAAATCAGACGGGCGTCATCAAACAAAGACTAAAGACAACATTAGGAGGGTTTTACACATAAGGAGGCAGGTTGATAAGCAAAAATTAGTAAGACCTTAGTATTGAGTTTAGACGCCAAAAAGGCAGAGTGAGGTGGTCCTTTTCATATAAGGTGCTTGAAAAATTCAGTTTCGATAAATCTGTAACTGAGGTTATTTCAGGGTTATACAATAACCCAACTGCTAGGATCAAAATTAACGGAGATCTCACTGAATCATTCATAATGGAGCGCGGGACTCGACAAGGGTGTTGCATCTCGCCCCTCCTCTTCGCCTTGTTTATCGAAGCTTTAAGCCAGTGGATCAGGCAGAGAAAGGATATAACTGGAGTATGAACAGTAGGAGGGGAGCAAAAATTCCTATTCCTAATTTCAGTCCCTCCCAAATCGATCATCTTGTTGATAGTGCTGCAGGCTCGCTGCGAATGACACTCGACTCTGTAGCCCCTCTAAAAAAGAAAATACTAAAACAAAGACGGTTAGCTCCATGGTATAATACTGAAACTCCCAAATTAAAGCAAATAATTAAATTAAATAAAAACTGGCTTCCCACCAAATTGGAAAATTCTCGTTTAATTTGGCCAGATAGTCTTAAACCTTATTGAACGATTATTTTGTTTTTTTGCCCTTATATTTCACTGACAAAGTTTGTACTGTTAATACCGGTATGTTCAACTATTAAAGCTGAGTTTATTTACTCACAGAATATCACAAATCCATTAGGCTATCTGTTATTTATAGGGTAATGTTGACATGCACACTGTGACAGTTTGACTCATAATTTATTCATATCTGGGTGCCAGTCAGGTCTCTCTCCTGACATATAAGATACTCATGTTTTTTAATCAAATGTCACAAGGGACCCATATATCAAAATATGGACGCCCCCCCTATGTTGAATGATCCCAACAGTATAATGAAAACCACACTCAGGAGTTTCTAAAAACAGCTTGTATTGGGATAATGCGCACACAAACTAAAACCACAAAATTATGCGATGTCAAAAAAACTAATTGTCCTCTCAGGGTGTTCTCTTGGTAAGCAAAACACAAAATAGGCTCTTTCCCATCAATCCACAAAAGCAAAAAATATTGTCTTTTCAGTTCATTGAAAGTAACAACATAAATTCATTCCAATCTTCCAGCGAAATCAATAACAATTCAATTAATCACAAAATAAGGTTCGAGTGACACACACAAAGAAACCAGCTGGGCAACAAAGAAACAATGCTTTGGCTGACTTACGACCAGGCGCTCTACTGGCAAAAAGATCCTGGTCTGGGCGTTTGATTATGGCGTTTTGGCGTTTGTTTCTGCAGCGGAGGCGATGATTTTTTGTAGAGCGATGTGGGATGATATAAACAGTATCAGTTTCTGAACAGGTCGTCACAACATGACAGAGACATAGTTCCTCTAGATTCAGCACATACTCAAT